GGACAATATTTTAGGGCTAATCCTAAAGTTTTCCATTAATATATCAGACAGTGTTTCAGTGCTACTCATAAGGTTTTCCCTGGCCATTTCTTTGAGAAGTGGATGGTCTCTTCCTTCTTCTGAATCTGTGTTATTCTGGAAGCTCTGCTGAAAGCTATCCACCACTGGTAACCCTGCTGGCATTTTAAACACCAGTGTCAAGGTAGAGCATATGAATCTCAAATTCAAAATGGCCAATACCAGTCCATTTCAGCTTATTGATTCTTAGGATATCAATCTTTGTGTGTTCCGTTTCATTTTTTACTATTTGCAGTTTTCCAAGATTTCATACAGTCCTCGTTTGATTATTAATGGATGTTTGCATCTTTTTCTTCTCATTTTGAGTCATGTCAAATGAAGGTCCTGCAAGATTTACTCCATCTTTGTCATTAAGATTGACTCTACTTTGAGGAGGCAGTTCTTCCCCAGTTGTATTTTTAGTGCCTTCCAATCTGAAAGGCTCATCTTCCAGCACTATATCAGATAATGTTTCACTGCTTTTCATAAATTTTTCAGTGGGTAATTTTTTCAGAAGTGGACTGCCTCTTCTTTCTTCCTAGTTTTCTCAGTCTGGAAGCTCCACTGAAAACTGTCCAATATAGGTGATCCTGGTGTCATACTGGTGACATAGCTTCCAGCATCACAGCAACTCATAAGCCACCACAGTAAAACAAACTGACAAACTTAGATCTTTGCGAATCCAGTAGGTGAAAATTTGTATCTAGTTGTAGTTTATTTTTGCATTGATCATGTTTTTATATAAGTTGAAGAAATTTCATACATTTTAAATTTATTTGTAATTCTTTTTATGTGAACTCATTTCTTATATACTTCAGGGCATGCTAAAATATATAAACATATTTTATGTTAAGTTTGGCAATATATAACATGTGACAGTATCTGTGTATATCCTTTGTATCTACTTATTTCATATAGTGTTTTCTTTTCTTTTGAATTTTACTTACGGTTTATTATATAATTTGAAAATATGTATGTATATTTCCTCATCCTAGGAAGATTGGACAATCTGCTTCCATAGTGATACCACTTTGGAACATCAGCAAAATTCCTTTTATCTTGTACCCTAACATATTCACTTATTCCAGGGATTAGGACATGGACATCATTTGGCAGCCATTCTGCCTACAGTACTTGCATTTAATCTCTTATTTTTGGATTTCACTTTTTTCCTGGAGTACATCCCTCAGAAATAGCATATGATAATTAATCTTTCTGAAACCTTTCTTAGGTTCTCAAATTTGATTTTTTTCTTGATTAGGAATAGAATTCTACATTCAAACTAATTTTCCTTTATAAGTGTTGACTTGTAGTGTTTAATGCTTTTGAGAAGTCCGAAGTTAGTTCATCTTTTGTAGAAGACCAGATTCTCTGGAAGCTTTGAAGCCTTTGTCTTAGATGTTCTGAAACATCTTGTTTGATGTGGCTATGTATAGCTCTTTACCATTTATTTTGCCTAACACTAGGTGTGTCCTAACAATCTGGAGTCTTTTGTTACTCTTCAGATCATTGAAATTTTTTATTTTTTTATAATTTCCTTCCTTTTCTCTGGACTTTCTATTAGTTATATGATGGACTGTCATAGTTACCTAATGCTGTCATAACAAAAAATAATACAAGTGGATAGCTTTAAAGAATATAAATTTACTTTCTCACAATTCTGGAGGTTAAAAGTTCAAATTAAGGTCTGGGCTTTGTCAATTCCTTCTGTGGACCTCTTCTAGTGTGATAGCTGGAGGTGTGTGTCAACTTGGCTGGACCACAAATCTGTGTGGCTTAAGCCATTGTGATGTGGGTTGTTCCAATGATGAGATCAGATGTATATGTTTTGAGCAGCCAATCCATTGAAAGGGCGTTTCCCTAGGGGTGTGGCCTGCTTCCAGTATATTTATGGACATCCTGGGAAAAGAGACACTCTTAAGTGGATCGGGATTCTGCCTACAACTGTCCATGAGCAAACAATCCACCATTCGGCCTGGAGATCTTGGATTCGTCATTTGTTGGAGTCAACAGCCAGTGTACTGCCTGTCAGCCTTGAGCTCCTCAGCCCCTGCAGCTGCAAGAGTCAGGAAAAGCCTCCAGCTTGATGTTTGATCCAAGAACTTGGGACTCGCCATCTTCTATATGTGTGTGAGCCATTTTCCTACGATAAATTTCTCTTTCTTTCTCTCTCTATAAGCTTTACTGGTTTTGCTTCTCTAGAGAACCCAGTCTAACACACCTAGTTTCTAATGTCTGCAAACAATCCTTGGCATTCCTTTACTTGTAGAGGTGTCCTCACATGGTGTCAGTGTTGCAGTATGTATATGTGTCTATTTTCCTCTCTTTATAAGACACCATTCAGAAGTGTTTAAGGTTGAGATCCACTCTACTCTGTTATTACCTCATTAACATAAGAATAGAAAACTTCTATTTGCAAACAGGGTCATATTTACAGGTACATGGGTTAGGACTTCAACATACCTTTTTTGGGAACACAATTCAATCCATAACATGGAGTTCATGAAAGAAATCCTTTTTTTCCCCTCAAATTTTCCATGTTTTTGTCTGAATGTTGTATTTTCTGAGATTTCCTCAATTCATCTCACCATTTTATTACATTTTTACTATCTTTCAATCGCATGCTTATTTTCAATAGCATTCTTATGCTCTGAATGTTTCTTTTTCAGAATATCCTGTTCTCTGCTATAAAACTTTCTTGAATAACTCTAAGCTGAAAAAACCAAACTCACTTCTGTCGAGTTGATTTGACTCATAGCAACCCCTCCTTGGGTTTCCAAGGTGGTATCTCTACAGAAGTAGATTGCTCAGTCTTCCAAGGAGTGGCTGGTGGGTTTGAACCGCCAGCCTTCTGGTTTGCTAACCATGCCTTAGGCACTATTTCACTAGAGCTCCCAGGGAGGTTGTTATAGTGAATTTGTTAATTTTTTTTTCTTCTTCTTGTTGCTCCTGAGTCAGTCTTTCTGAGATAATGCTATGTTTGTTCTCTTTAGTTTTATATTTTGTGCTGTTTTTTCTTCATGTCTGTGATTCTTCATTTGTTATTAAGAATGAGGTTCTGGATCAAAGTGGAAAAGTAATACTTCCACTCCAGGAATCTGGAGGAGCTGAGGTGCCATAGTTTCCTATAGAGATTTAAAATTGACCCCATGTATTTAGCCTCCCTCACTCAGTGTACCAGACGGCTCTGAGCCTGGGGTCTCTCTGGGACTCTACCAGGTAGCTCTCTGAGGCTTTGGTCCCCTCCTGCAAGTTCTGGGATGGCATTTTGATAATGTTTCATTTGTTAATAGGCTTCTTTCTTTTGATCTTTCAGATACTTCTTGAAATACCTAGCCTGTTGATGGCCCCTCTCTAGGTCATTTCAGTATTAGAAATTAATTTTCAAACAAGTAATTTAAAGTAAGAATTATATAAAAGTACTTAAAAGGTACTTGAAAGTTTTCTGGGCTATCCTTTAGCTATTAATTGTTAGTTTTATACCATTATACTATCTTTACTTGTTCAAATTTAGCTTACCCTTCTAAGCCTAACATAGATGCTACCTCCTTGAAGAAGTCCTGCTTTGTTCTTTCCCTTCTCTAAACTTCTCTATACATCCTTTAGATCACCCTGTTGCGGTCAAGTTGATCCCAACTTAAAGAGACCCTACAGGACAGGGCAGAACTGCCCCATAAAGTTTCTAATGCTGTCAACTTTTATGGAAACAAACTGCCACACCATAGTCCTTCCCAGGCTTTTACTCATGTTTATGAGATTTGCAGCTTAGCTCTGTACTCTTCACAGCAAGATTCTATGCAATTAAGCAAATATTTATTATGTATCAAATATTGTATTTGTTGTACTGTTGTTAGCTGCCATTGAGTTGGCACCCAACTCACAGGGATCCCACATACAACAACAGGATCTGACTATTGTGATTCACAGGATTTTCATGGGCTGAAATTTTGGCAGTAGATCACCAGGTCTGTCTTAGTCTAGAAGCTCAGCTGAAACCTGTTCAGCATCATGGCATGCCTCCATTAACAGGCAGGTGGTGATGGTGCTTCACGTGTACTGGGCAGGAATCTAATCTAGTCTCCACATGAAAGGTAAGAGTTCTACCCTGCACTACTAAGTGCCCTCAGATGATGCTAGGGATGGAGTTAAACTGAAGATACAATTCTGGCCTTTAAGAAATTCAGCATAGTAGGGAAATGAAGAGTAAACAAATTACCCAAGTGAGCATCAAGAAACTTTGTTTGGTGGTGAAGAAAATAACATGTATATAAAACAGCTCACAGCACTGAAAAAAATAACAAGAGACATAAACAAATCTTTTCAAAGGAGTTCAAAGGAGAAAGAAAGGGGAGGGAAGTTTAAGTACAGCTTCCATACAATGCAGTATTCACAGAACTTGCTTCAAAATTATTAGACAAATATAAGGGGAAAAAAAGCAGATTTATACCTACTGGTATCAGAATGGAGGAAAGGGGGAATTTAAATCTAGGTTTTAAACAAACTCCCCAGCTATTTGGGTCATCAGAAATTTTAGAATAAATTGGGTGCAAGTTTCACAGACATTGTCACCCAACTGCTCCCTCCATCTAGCAGGGAGATAGCTTGCATTGTGACTCTTGCCTTTCCTTCTTCCGAGCTGCCTCATCGCCACATTTCATCTAGCTCACGTCGCCAACTACCTACTACAACTACTCCTAGCAGTAACGAAGCTCAACCACCCAAAACACAACGAATATGCTCAGATCCCGGCCAAGCAAAGGATTCCGGGAAAAATCATCAAGCCAATCTAAAGGACCCATGGATCTGCAGGAGACGCGAGCGGGAACATTTCTTTGATTGACGTTAATTACGTCCAATGGGAACACAGAGTCATTGAGTTTCCCCCCCCCCGCCCTAATGGGCAGGACTTAAGTCATTTTTAACCAATCCAGCTCAGAAGTGTTATCTCGTGGGAGGTTCTTCAGGCCTGTGAGGCTGTTGGCGTCCGTTGACCAGAGTTTGCAAGTCGTGGTGCAGTGGGTAGGGGGTTACAGTCGTTCTTGAGAGGAACATCTCTGTCCGAAGAGAAAATGAGTTTAGCTCTGAGGTCGGTAATGAGAAAGAGGCAATGCTTTCACAGCCTGGAGCGGAACCTAGGGGTGGGTGTGTGGAAAGGAGGCAATTGGGGGCCGAAGCGAGGATGGGAAGGCAGTTTGGGAGGTGGAGAGGGACGGAATCATGGCCAACTTTCCTGGCTTCGGGACCCTTGCGTTGGGAGTCCTTGCTCTCCGCAGGTGATGAGCCCTTTGTGTATCGGCTAAGGTGATCATTTCTGTACTGCCGAAAAGGCAGGTCTTGTGGTTGGAAGAGAGGCGAGAGTGAAATATCGCGAGGTTTCTACTGTAAGGTGTTCCTGCGAGAAATCAGGATATTTCATCCTTTGATTCAGTTCTTGTTCCCTACCTCATCTTGGGAAGTTTCTGATGTAATCGCTCAGATACGAATTTTGGAAATAACACAAACCTCTTTGCTCATCTCCCAGGGCCCTGCTTTGCAGTATTTTACTGACAATTGGCAATCTCAGTCTTGGATTTCCTTAGTGCCTTGAGTTTGGTTGCCTTTCAGTTCCAGGCTTTATTTTAACCTTCCCTCTCCGCTTGCTTCCCCCTTCACCAACCTCATCTAGAGGCTTTGTCTGAAGAATAACCTGTAGTAACGCCATCATAAAGGTGCTGTTTTCTGCTACTAGGCAAATGTAGTATTGGATGAGATCGGTCCTCTTGGAATATTGGGATGCTAATGACTGACCCCGGGTGTGTCCAGGCTTGGTGAAGTCAGGTCTCTTGTGAAAGGAAGACCTTCCATAGCTTTGTCATAGTTCACCTTCTGGTCACTTTCTAGCCATCTCTTATCTTTGTGTGTGTGTGTGTGTGTGTGTGTGTGTTTCAGAAACGAAAACGATCAAGTGCTACTATATAACATGTTGTAATAAAATCAACTGAATTTCTGAATTTTACGTTTTAAAGTTTCATAGTTTTTTTTTTTTTTCTGTCTTTGAAAACTTTTTCTTTACATGTGTTGGAGCGCCATTTGAAAATTTGGGCAACGTTTACATTGGCATCTCTTAAGACATTTACGGCTTTTGGCATGAATTCTGCTTTTATGTTGCTTTAAGCTTTTCCAGAGTTTGTTATGAGAAATTTAATTTGTAATTTACATGTTAAGTGAGACTTAGAAGACCAGTGACACTTCATATTATCATAAAGATTAGCATAGTATGTACTTTTTTTTGGCGTTTAATATTTGTGGTATGGTGAGATTCAATATTTTGGCTGATTTGTTAATATCACTGCATTAAATCACAAAGGGCCAAACTGTTAGGAAAGTGTAATCTAAAAACATTTTGAAGGTACAGTGACCAAATACTTTATAAGTTAATTGATAAGTTATGAGTTTTTTTTTTTCAGATAGTGATTTTTAGAACTTAATTATAAGCACTGTCAAAAGTAAATCAAATATATAGTGATTTCATCAGTTAGGAATTTTACTTTAACTTGGAGTTTATTTTAAACACTATTGTAAGATGATTTGAATAGTAAGTTTGAATGCTTTCGTTTTTTGGGGGGGTTTCTGCATAAAATTAATGTTTCTTAGTTTCAGGTCTTGCTTTTCCACACCAATGTTAATGGGAATTAAAGCCAGAAGGACTTAAAGTTAGATCTTCATTTCTTTTAAAAACCTGTAACATTCTTCAGTTTTGGAAGGGGCAAATTTATAGAAGTGTAGACTATGGAATGATAGGGCATTGACTCATGTAAGGAAAATGTTTTTATCTTTCTCCAAAATACTTCCTTTTTAGAAAATAATTCATTGAGTAATTTTCTGTTGCATTTTTGCAATTTTAGTTTAATCATTTAGATATACAAGAGGATAGGATTAGAGTGGACTAAAGACTTTTATCTTTCCGTTTCACAGAAATGAGCTTGTAGTAGACAAAACAAAGAGGAAGAAAAGAAGAGAACTCTCTGAGGAGCAGAAGCAAGAAATTAAAGATGCTTTTGAACTATTTGATACAGACAAAGATGAAGCAATAGATTATCATGAATTAAAGGTAATAGTATACTTTAAAACATTTATTTCTGTTACAGTGATTGGCATCATTGATAGTTACTTAAAAGTATATTTCTAAATATTTTTACTAAGCTGGCTTTGGAAATATGAAACCATGTTAAAGATTCACAGTATAGTACTGTAGTAAAACAATATACTACCCCTTAACATATCTTTTAGAAAATGCTTTTTACGTGGTAAAATGAATTTTAAGGAATATTTTAAGTAATGTTTGAAACCTTCCATATAGTCCTATATTTTTCATTCATTTAATTAAAAGATTAAAACTATGAGATTTAATAGTTCTTTACACCTTTGTTTTTTTAAAAAAATTTAACTTGTTAATAGCAAGGTCTCAACCTACTGTAGCTGATGCTAACAGTGTAAGTGATACCTGATGTTGATATAATGTTAGTGAAGAGAATGTCAACTTTAAGCCATAGAACTATTTATAAACATACAAGGGGAAATTGCTGGTTTTTTTTTTTTTTTTCCTACTTTATTGTGGTGAAAACATACACAAGACATTTGCCAACATAACAACTTCCACTTTACAGCTCAGGGACATTGATGACATTCTTTTTTAAATATTGTGGTAAATAAATATATGTAACAAAGCATTTGGTATTTCAGTGATCTTTACCTGAACAGTTGTTGTTGTTGTTGTTGTTATGTGCTGTCGAGTCGGCAGTTAAGTGACATTAATTATGTTCTTTATGTTCAACCATCACTCTTATCTGTTCCCAAATTAGGGAGAAAGGTAGTTTTTGAGGTGATTTCAAGTAACCTTCATATATAGGTAAATATAAATGTTTATTTGGTAATTTTGATTTTGATAATTTTGTAAGGGATTTTTAAGCACCAGAATTCTGAGTAGGGGAAAGAACGATGTGGTTGATAGGATAGAATGTATAAAAGCAGTAATGGAACTTATGTCTTGTTTTCTTAATCTTGAAATCTTCTTTAACTCTCTTCCTACAGCTTTTTTTGTTTACCTGGATTTGGTCATTTTCTCCATTCTTGCCATTGCTCTCTTGATTTGGGACCTTATTTCATATATGGAACTTCTTAAATGGTTTCTCCATTTCACTCTGTACACTACCGTTCGTTCCATCTTTCCAAAGTTCTTTCTCCATTTGAACCTTTAGTGCACACTGCATACAATTCAGATGCCTTTGCTTTCTATTGAATGCTCTCTATACTTTTACTAGCACCTGCTTTTCTCATTTATTAACTTCTTTCTTTCTGCCTGAACTCTACCCATTAAGGTCAGGCAGTCTGCTGTGGTCATTGCCCCTCAGCTCTCTGCTTTACTTTGCTGTCTATTTTAATATCTGTCATCCTTTTCTAAATGACATTCTACCCCTCATCATGCATCAATCTGAGAACACCTCAAATCTCTCTAAGACTTTTTTAACCAGTAGCATATCTTTCTTCCTTGTTACTAGTGACAAGGTAGATACTACCTCTGAATTCAGGGTACTGGTGTACTTACTTGATAAGTAGTTATATAGGATCTGGTAGTAATTCTTATTTTTATGTGTTCATCTTCTATTGTATAACTTTTAAATGTCTATGCCATGTCTTTTCTCCTGTTTCGATTGCTCATTTCTTGAAAATAGATAGCTTGTTAAAATTTTTTGTACACTAAACTTAAGTCACTGCATTGGATAGTATATCCTATAAATACATGTTGGTTTTACATGTAAAAACAATAAATATATGACAAAAATTTTCCATTTAATTTCAATAGTGAAGAGTAGTCACTTTGTGTTGCTTTTTTTCGAGTCATGTAACATACAAAAGAATTACATGTTTTGTTAGTGTGATAGGTTCTGAGATGTTAAAAACTTACTTAAGAATTAGAAATCACTTATTTTGTAGAGTGCTTTTATGCTTTGCTTTTTCCTTTTAATCCAAAAGGTGGCAATGAGAGCCTTGGGATTTGATGTAAAAAAAGCTGATGTACTGAAGATTCTTAAAGACTATGACAGAGAAGCCACAGGGAAAATCACCTTTGAAGATTTTAATGAAGTTGGTGTGTATCTTAATCGTTGTAATCAGCAGTTGTTAGGAAACTATCTGGTTAATATCAGTTATTTAAAAAAATTCTTCAGGTTATAGAATTTTGTAATGGAACATTGCTATATAATGTACTTGTTCAAGTATTTATTTTCTGTTGCTTTTTTCCCCTGATTTTCTAAAAAAAATCGATTTACAACTTTACTGTGATATTTATAGTTTTTTCTTTTATAGTTTTGTTCTGACGATTCTAACCAAGAAATTATTTTACAGCTTTTTATGGAAAGATGTTTCTGTAAGTAATGTGTGTTTATATTATAAAACTAAAAGGTGATAAAAACAAAACAAAACAAAAAAGTTCTCTTGGTAAAATAGAAAATTTGGTACCTGCTATTTATAAAATATTTCCCCAAACATTTCTGGCATGTGATTTTTGTTGGTAAAGTAAGCCAGGAAGAAACTGGTAGCAATTGGTATCTTTGACTGTAAATGAAGCTTGTGTCTTCAGGTTAACAAAGTTTATGAGAGGATGCATTCTCTCTGAATAAGAAAATTGTTTAGAGTTGGGATTGAGAAAGATTGTAGTATGGGAGGAATTGACTGACTGGAGGTGGGAGACAACATTTTAGAACCACTAACTAAAGATAAAGTATAAAGATAAGGCATACAATATGATTGGATTTTTATGTATTTGATTTTAATGAATTATTTCTCAAATAATTCTGAAAGGAAAAGACTACTGTTATAACTTAAATATATTGCTTAGCATAAATGCATGTTGTTGTTGTTATGTGCCGTTGAGTCGGACTCCAGTCATAGTGACCCTTGGGTTTCCAAGGCAGTATCACTATCTCAGGGCGGAAGTAGATTTCCCCATCTTCCTTCCTAGGAGTGGCCAGTGGGTTTGAACTGCCAGCCTTCTGGTTAGCAGTCAAGTGCCTTAGGCACTACGCTACCAGAGCTCCTGCATAAATGCATAGAATATATAAATATTCAGATCTATTTTACTAAGTTTTCTAAACTAATGCCATTTCACTTTATATGGGTCAACGTATAACCATATTATATAATTATTATTAGATATATTTAAAAAAATTTGGGAACAAATTTAATTATATACATGAAAACGCTCTCCTTGTTTTAACTACTCAGTAAAAGGCAGTATGTGAGAGAGCCAAAACAGAGATGATAATTAATACACAAGATAGTAGATTTATATCATTAGTAATTTTTTTTTTTTTTTTTAATTTGAAAGCTAAAATGAAAAGAGGGCATGTGAGGGATGAATCTAAAAGAGAAAGAAACTACAGCAGAAAATCCCTACTTATAAACTAAGGGATTACTGTTTAAAGAGGCAACTCCTGTAAGCAAATTTTTTTTTGTCCTCTGCTTTGTAAATTTACTGACTTGAAAGGGAGAGAGCTACTCTTACTTTTCCATTGTAGAAGCTTTCCAGGGGTTTACAATCATAATGTTCCAAGTTTCAACTTAGATTATTTATTTATAGAAATAAGATGTTAGATTTTAATGGAAATGGTACTGTTAAGGTAGAGCTATAATTCAAGTACATTTAGTACAGTGTAAGATTTAGCATGGACTATCTTGGAACCAAATTGTGTAGATTGACATACTGGCTTTGGACTTAGTCATTTCCTTCTCTGTGCCTCATTTTCCTTAACTATAAAATGAGAAAAGTTATACTATCTCATAGGGTTGTTATGAGAAGTTAATAATTAATAATATGTAAAGTGCTCAGAGGAGGACCTACCTTCTACATGGTAAGTGCTGTTTGTTTACTCTTACTACTTTTAAAATCTTTGTTTCATTTTTTTTTTTTAGGGTGACTACAAAGTATTTGTATCACTGGGGATTTTAAAAATCATTCTTCTCTGAGTATATTTTTATGATTGTTTTTCATAGTTGCAGGATATTACCTGTACCATATCCTTGTAATCATTACTTTTGGCAGGCACATTTAATTTTAAGTGAATATAGTTTTTAAATTGGGTCTTAGTAATAGTTGATACCAGAGTCCTATGCCACCTACACCTTTCCCTGTGACCCATCTTTCCTGTAAGTAATAGAGCAGAAATACTGGGTCCCTTTAGGGTAAATGGCCATGGCTAAATTAAACTTCAGGTCTAACTCAAAGATGAACGTTTTGACAGGGCCAGCACATACTTTTGCTATGTTAAGGCTACCTGTTGAGAATACTAATTTCAAATAAAACTTTACCATAGATTGGTAATCTGTGAAGAACTGTGTATTCTCCCCATTTGTTAATTATTTTTAAGTAATAACTGACTACAGATAAGTATGTTTCACACTTTGGGACAAGTGACTCTAGATCAAAGCATCTGAGCCTTTAGTTTTACATACCATTTATTTCTGTCTAAGGATATTGTCCAACGGGTATTTCTGGATAAGTAAATCTGGCATTTAAAACAGGATTCCTCCTAAAGCAAGAAAAAATTATTAACAAAATATTTAATAATAAGCTTAGACTCAAAATAGCCCAAGGCTAAAGATTAACTGGAGTTTTAGGAATTGCTTCCTCTGAAGTAAGACCCCAGAGTATGTCAGATGCTTGTACTTTATCCATTTTTGGCATGTACTTCTTACTTAATTGACTATTTAGAATAGAATATTATATTATTTTGATTTTGCTTATTTAACAAACATTATAGGTAATGTTCTGTGGTGAGGGAGGGAAATTACTTAAAAGTTACTAGGAGGTTCTTCTTCAAGGATTTACAGTTTAAATGTAATTGAAAACAAACCTTAATACCATGTAGTAAAATTAGGATTTTGCCTAGGACAAGAGTCAGCATACAGCTCTTGTGACAGATCTAGGCTACCACCTATACACAGCCACACTCATGTTTTTATGCTGTTTTGGTGTTAGAATGGCAGAGTTAAGTAGTTGCCAAAGGGACTGTATAGCCCACAAAGCCAAAATATTTACTGTCTGCCCCTTTATAGCAAATACTTGTCAATGCCTAGTCTAGAGGAATTGAAGAAGACTTTGCAGAGGGGATTTTTCACTTAGGTATCTGGAAATAAGAATAGAATTTCATCCCTAGGAGAAGATTGCAAGAGTGGAGAAAGGCATCTCAGTCATAGAAAACAGCAACAGCAAAGAGTGGTAGTGGAAGTATAGGGTGCCCTGTGGGTGGAAAAATAGGGTATCGCTCCATATTGATAAAATCTTGCATACTGTGTAGAACTTGGGCTTTAATGAGCAGATCATTGACAGTTTTTAGGGAAGGGAATATGATTTGTTGTTAACTGGTGGTAGTATTGAAGATAGGCTGGAGGGAAGAGAGACTAAAGGCAGAGAAAATAAAAGATGGTATTGATGAAAAGAAAAGGGATATATTGAAGAATGAAAAAGATAGTATCCTTAGAACGATAAGGTCTACTCACTGATTGCGTTTATTGGTTTTTAATTCAGACTTTCCAAACATGGGAAACTTAGCTATTAATTGTGCTGGGGTAGGGAGATGGGGAAGGCAGTGACAGCTACCTTGGTGATAATAGAATTCCAGCATATTGAGTTTAAAGTAACTGGTATGTTTGGATAGAAACTCGAGTGGACACTTAGAAATATAGTTGAAGCCATATTTCTTAGTATTACCTTTAATGACTTTTTACTTATTTAGATGTATTTTTGAATTTGCTTTATTTCTTAACTGATTCTTATAATGTGCAAGGCCCAGTTATTTTAATAAAATGCATGTGTTTTATTATAATGAAATCATTTGAAGATAGTTATGTTACCAGAAGTTTGGAGTTTTGTGAAGTAGATGTAGTCCGGTTTAAGTGCTTATATGTCAAGTGGCTTATTTCTATTGAAAAGGAAATATTATAATGAAATAGAACAGGAATAGGACATGAAGGCATAGAGGAGAGTCGCCTGAAAGTTATATACTTAGTGATGTTTTAATTATCCAGAGTTATGAGAATGTATAGTTCCTAAGAAAAAGCTGTGTTCTATGGTGCAGAGAATTGATAAGAAATTACACAGACACATAATCTGAAATAACTAGTACAATTAAAGCAGCAGTGGGATAAGAATTTTATACATCTTGGAGCCCCATCTGTTCTTCACATCACCCTGTTGCTTCTTTAACTACATTAATACTTCCAGCAAGCTGCTTTTTTGGTTCACCTGTCATGTAAATTATTTAATTGGTGAAGAAAATTTCTTGACACTTTTTTTTTCCCGGTCCTGCTTTTTTGTTGGGACTAAATTCAAAATAAGTTGAGTATGAGCCACAGAGTTAAGTGTGGTATTTAATTTTGGTTTTATGACTGTATATATGCCAACTCCTTTTTGACTGAATATTTATGAGCCTTGATGATTTGCATATTTATAGTAATATACTTCAATTAGTTACTTGGAAGACTTTTTGGATAAAATTAATACATAAAAGAGAACTATTGAATATATGTATAGATGATATAACATTAACTTGAATAGATGTTTGTTCTAAAGCTTATTCAACCAAATAAGATCTGCTGGCAGCAAAGCAGTAATAGCTTTTTGGAACCTGAATTGCAGTTTTTCCTGTTGGATTAATTAAATATTCAAAAACTGTCTATAGACAGCTGTTTTTCATGATTCTGTAAATCTCAAGAGGACTGAGTTATTTTTAATGACACAGTAAAAGTCATAAATACCTTTCTTGTAGTGCTAGACCAGGATGAAGACTTACTTCAGAGATGTTTATTTAGATCTTTTCAAATAATAGAATTTTATGTAGTAACTTAATAATTTTTATGCCACAGATTTTGCTTCAGTATTTTGCTTCAGTATTTGAATTGTGGCTGTTAATGAAAGACTAGTAATATAGAAATATTATTTAAATTTACTATTTTATTATATATTTTAATATCTAGTATATTAAAATAAAATATCGCTATTAAAGTCTGAGATTGTTCATGTTTATTTTTAGTTGTCTGATAGTTTTCTTGCAGAACAAATTGATTATGTCTTTAGAGAGACTTTCTTCCTGCAGTCATATGCAGTCCTTTAACCACTTTCCATATTTTGGAAAACCAAGAGGCTTTTCTAACTATGAAACATGATGATATCAATGGAATTTTCATCTATTGTCTGAGATTGTGCCTGAATCAATGATGTCATTATTTTTGTTAATTTGTCAGTTTTATTTTGTTGTTGTTGTGTTGGTTGAGGAGGAATCAGTGTTAAATTTAGCCAGCAAACAGTTTTTATATAGTTACCTCTAATTCTTTTTCTGATATGTCATCTGTACACACCTAGGTTACAAATGCCTAGACATGTGTGCTGGATATCTGTGGAGCATAGTTCAATTCTTAATAATAGTAAACTTTAAATAAATACCGTGTGTGTATATACATATATAAAAACTTTTTATTTTGACTTTGTGATAGAAATATTTTTCCTTGGGTTTTTGGGCTCCAATTTGTCATTTTGTTGTTAGATTAAATGTTGAAAGATTCACAGCTTTAATTCTCATCTAATGTTTAGTTGATTTCACAGATGAATGTCTTTGATTATGCAGGTTTTTCCTTTTTCTGTTCTCCATTTTTTTTCCTTTTTTTTTTCACTATAGTGACTGACTGGATATTGGAAAGAGATCCACATGAAGAAATATTGAAGGCATTTAAGCTATTTGATGATGATGATTCAGGTAAAATAAGCTTGAGAAATTTGCGACGTGTTGCCCGCGAACTGGGTGAAAACATGAGTGATGAAGAACTTCGGGCTATGATAGAAGAATTTGATAAAGATGGTGATGGAGAAAGTAAGTTCTGAATAAAACACATTTTCCAAGTATTCCGGATGCTACACATTTAGTAAATTTATCTAAAACTGAACGATTTTCAAGACTCTTTGCACACTATTTTCATTCAGTGTTACTGTTCATCTTGTAATGGAGTTTTTGTTTAAACATTTCATATTTTCAATTTAGAATAAAAGAGATCTTTCAAACTGGCTAGGCAGGTTGTAATATGAGGTTCTATACTTCAAGAAGGTACTTATCTCTGAAGGTAAAATTTATTATGCTACAGATTTTGCTTTAGTTTGTATTGTCACTAAAATTTCAGTCACTCAAAACTTAAGTCTTTAATATCTTAACTGTCCCTCAACCTACATGTACTTCTAGACTATCACTAAGTTTTGTTGATTCTACCTGTCAAATGTTTTGAATCTGCTTTATTTCTTTGCTCACTGCTGCTGTCCTAGTTCTGGTCCTAATTTCTTACTAAAAGTGTTGTAATAGCCTTATTTCCTTGGATGCCTGTTGTCACATCCTATATGCTGACCAGTGCTACAGCAGCAAAAAAGGCAGATGTAGTCCCTGCCCTCATGGAGTTTGCAGTCCAATAGCTTCGTAATTTGTGCCTAAATGCCACTAATCTCTTTCTCCATTTCATTGATAGTGTTTTTTCCCTGTAATACAAGGCTGATGATGCCATTTCCCTGTTCAAATACTTCATTGTCTACATAGTAAAGCTCAAAGCCTTGTATGATCTGCCTTATCTTAAATTAAGTATATAGTTTGATTTCCCACTGTGTTCTTCCACTTTTTGACTTTAACCTTCATCTTCCATATGTATACCGTTTGACAAAACACTCTATCCTGAAAACATTTTTATGCTGTGCCTTTCTTCATGTAGTTTATTAATCCTAGAATGACCTAATTGCTTTTTCTTTTTTCTTGTCTGCTAAAATGTTAATCATTGTTCCATGTATTTTTTAAGCACCATCTTCTTCTTAAAAGTGTTCTCCAAAAGTCTCTGTTGGTGTGAATTTTGAGACGTCCATTGAGGGCCCATAGCATTTAGAGGAACAAACTGTTTGAATACTTTTATACTTTGCCTCTGTTGTATACATGTCTCTCTCTCCACTTCTATTTTGAGCCATTTAAAAGCTTGTGGAATCATATAGTAGGAAAGGACAGTAAGGACAGATTTGAGGCTTTGCAATTACTCAGACCTGGCTTTGAATTGAGTATCTATCATTTGTTTAGTTGCTATGTAGTTTTGAGTGTATTTTCAACTCTTTTAAGTCTCAGATTCTTCCTTTGTGAAAATGTGGATGGTAATATCCTCTCAGGTGGTTGTGAATATTGATGGAAGATATTTGAAGGTGCTAGCATTAAATATAAGCTTGCTTTTCTTTTTTTTCATCTTTACTCATTTTGTATTTCTCTGCATTTTCTTTAACATTGTGAGTGTTCTAATGTTTGTTGACTTAAAGCCCTGAGCAGGAATATGTGTTTTGTTGTTGTTGTTGTTGTTGTTGTTGTTGTTGTTATGTGCCGTTGAGTTGGACCCGACTCATAGCGACCCCTCCTTGGGTTTTCGAGGCGGTATCACGACGGAAGTAGATTGCCCAACCTTCCTTCCAATATCAATTATGTATATTAAAAAAGCCAGGTACTGTCTGCTCAGTTCCAACTATGGCAACCCCATGTGTGTCAGGGTAGAACTGTACTCTGTGGAAACAGATGATTTTTCAGAAGTAGATCACAAGGCCTCTAGCAACTCAGCATGATAACCACTTGTACCACAAAGAAACTATATACACACACATATTGTTAGCTGCAATCGAGTCAGTCCCTGACTCGTGGTGGACCCCTGTCACAATGGAATGAAACACTGCCGGTTGTGATTTAATGAGTTTTCATTGGCTGATTTCGGAAGTAGATTGCCAAGTCCTTGGAAATACTGGCATACTTTAATGAGGAGGTAAGACATTAGGAACTAACCATCAGTTCACATTTTAGATTGTAGCTGGGAATTTTGTATTTTTGTCCTTTTTCACTATGTTTATGTGAGCTTACACAGCTTTTTCTATTATATTTTATTCTAGGTCTTTGCAGGTATTTGTATAGTTATTCATATTTAAAAGACAACAACAAAGATGACTAAAATCTTTGGAAATAGAAATGATATCCTAAGTTATCACTCTAATATTTGTAGTTAGAATCCACTGTCTTCACCCTTTTCTAAGTCTTCTCTAAACAGCAACAAAAAAGTAAACAAAATAGTTTCCGTTGACTTGACTTCAACTCATGGCAGCCTCAAGTGTGTGAGTAGAACTGTGCTCTGAGGGTTTTCAGTGGATGGTTTTTCAGAAGGAGGTTGCCACGCTTTTCTTCTGAGATGCTTTTGGATGAACTTAAACCTCAAACCTTTTGGTTAATTGTTAACACCCAGGGACTCCCAAGTCTTTTCTCTTTCTTAATTATTACCATCTTTAACTTTAAAGGAACTCTTCTCTAAAGGCATCCTCTTTAGTTGCATAGAGAATCATGATATGTCTTTTTCAGAAATCTTTTAACAGTGGTTACTGTGTGTGAATCAAAAGATTAGAGATATGAACAGCACCCCCCCACCCAGTGCTGGGCACATACAAATTATATTTTGATTTTTAACTTCATTTGACATTAGAAGAAAAAGTCAATTAGGAAGCTGCTTCCTAAGTTCAGAGTTGGTGTGAAACTTTTTAGAAAATGTATCCATTTCTTGCATCCTCTGTTAAACTGCTGAATCTGTGGTTTAGGTCATTCCCAGAGTTCACTCCTGTCCTCCATTGCTTAAAGAGTTATATATCCTTAAAACATTTCTTCTGCTCTCACTGCTTGCGTTATTCCATTTGAAATCACTTTACAACTGTTGCTTGGGTATCTTGCTCTTATTTATTCAGGTGACTAATCTGGTAGCGTAATGCCTAAGGCATTTGACTGCTAACTAGAAGGCTGGCGGTTCAAACCCACCAGCCGGTCCTCGGAAGGAAGATGGGGCAATCTACTTCCATAGTGATGCTGCCTCGGAAACCCAAGGAGGGGTCGCTGTGAGTTGGGTCCGACTCCACAGCACGTAACAACAACAACGACACTATATCTCTTAGGCACTAGGCCACCGGAGACTGCTAACCAGGAGGCTAGTGGTTCAGACCCACCAGCCACTCCCCAGAAGGAAGACTGGGCAATCTACTTCTGTAGAGATTGCACTTCAGAAACCTAAGGAGGGGTTGCTATGAGTAGGAATTGACTCGATGGCAGTGAGTTTTTTTTTTTTTTTTTAAATAGGCACAATATTTTTTTTCTTTTGCCTAGTGATTGACAAATAAAATACATCTGTCAAACAGTCTTTTTAAAACTAATTTCTTTTGGGGAAGGGATGTGGGAGGTTCATTGTCTTACCTGTTAGAGTAGTCTAATATAGTAGTTTCCAATTTGGGCTATGGCTTTCTCAGGATAAAGAACTTCTGAGATACTTCATGGGGTTTAGGAATTTATGTATGCATCAAATATTGTCTGTAGACCATATTGCTTGATAAATTGATGTTTTCCATAATTCACAGAAGCTGCTTGTTGTTACATGTTTTGTCCAATAGTGTACACAAGTACAGCTATTATGGCATGTCTAAAATATTGTCTGTTATTGAAAAGGCATTCTCATATTCAGAAACAGTGTGAACTACAGTTTTAATCCATTATGTCTGGCTTTGGGATACTACCTTAACGTAAATGAGTCTCTGTAGCTATATGAAAACCTGCCTAATTTGAAAAAACAGGAAATTAAATTTCATGTTAATGTATTAACCTAATCATTTAATTTGGATTCTTTGGGGTACAAATGAGATTTTGTTTAGAGATATAAGTTGTTTTCTTTGTATTTGTCAAACTGGTAAAAGGTTTTAATGCTTTCTGTGTCTTTTTGGACTTTATTAGCTCTTTTATCTTTATGAATTTTCCAAACTGTTCCATATCTAAGAGCAAAGACAAATGTTTCATTTTACTTCATTGGATATATAAACTAAGAAACATGGTGAATGAGAAGTTAAAAGAAGGTATCAAACAAGATATAATTAAAGCTATGGTATTGATAGGAGCTCTGGTAGCATAGTGCCTAAGGCACTTGACTGCTAACCAGAAGGCTGGCAGTTCAAACCCACCAGCCACTCCTTGGAAGGAAGATGGGGCAATCTACTTCCGTAGCGATACTGCCTCGGAAACCCAAGGAGGAGTCTCTATGAGTTGGGTCCGACTCGACGGTGCATAACAACAACAACATGGTATTGATATAGAAAGAATACCCCTCCCCAAAGATATATCAAGTAAAACATAGTAAATCTTTTTGAGAAAATGAATGCAACATTTAAGAAGCCAAAATGGACCATCTTTTAAGTAATGATGATGTTAACAGTTGATGATAATTTAGCAGTTACTATATGGTAGATGTCTAACAAGTTAGAGTGTGAATTATGTCACTTAATTTTCGTAAGAGCTTCTATGAAGTAGATAGAATAGTATTGTCATACATACATAGGCTAATGCACATAGAGATGAGGACACTAAGACTATGACAGATTAATAACCTATCCCAGGTTATCATACAGTTAATACATGACAAAGACAGAACTCAAATTCAGATATCCATAATTACGAAGTACCTGTTTTAAACCATAACATTGTTATACCTTTTAGCTTATAAATTAAAATAGTAATTAGCTTTCTAGATTTTATAAAAAATACATGGTATTATAAGAAGCATTGTGTTAGCAAAATATTCAACTGGCACTTTAGATGCTAAAATTTCTTTTCTCCCTCCGGAAACCAGATGGACTCTTAAGGTGCTTAATCTACTTAGTTTTCTCAAATTCTTTGTTTTTGTGACATGTAATAAAATTTACCCTATGAAATAGTTGATTTATGTAAATTGTGTTAAAGAAGGCAGTGTTAGTAGAAAATGAAATGTCCTATTTATTTGATTCAAAAAACATTTCATCAAGTGCCCATTTTTGGCTAAATATCATGTTAGATTTATTAGATATAGGAACTTGATAATAGAGATACTGTATCAGAATAAATTTGATGACTGGGTTTGGGTTTTTTGTTGTTGTTGTTGTTGTTAGAGAAGGTTATAAAACTGAATGTACAAAGGCATTAGAGATTCTCTTAATTGGAGGGCTTTCTGGTAGTAAAGGAACTAGCTTAATTTTCTCAGCTACTGTCTTCCCTTCTGTTTTTCCTTTTTTAGACTTAAGTATTCTGTTTGTAGGTATGGAATCATAAAATAGTTTGAAAAGCATTTTTTCATAATTTATATATTTATACATGCATGTAAGTATAGCTAATGTTTCAATGGCTTTAGAACTTCTATATGATGTTTAATTTGAAATTTGGTTATGAAATTTTACAGATTGAGGTAAAAGAGGCCTAACAAGCATAAATACTTTTCAGATTTCACATTTTATGTAGAGCTTTTCTTTTATTGTTAAGATGATTTATAGTCAAATTATTCTAAGGCTGCTTTTATGTTATTTTTCTTAAGAGCATACTCCTGCTTCCTGTTTTGGTCTAGTGCCTTAGTATATATTGGTTAAATCAGGGGTTCTTAAATTAGGCTCCACATGGGTTAAATTGCTAAAAATTTTGCATATTTAAATTTACTTTTCTGGAGAGAGAAAAGGAGTCATAACTTTCATAAGATATTCAAATGTGTCTATTTAACTACAAAGGAGCATTACTCTAGTTTATAAGATCCTTGAAAGTAGTTTAAGAATATTACAAATTTTGTGTTCTGTTCTCACAGTGCCTTTCTTAGTGTCTGATAGACGTTTAATACCAAATGCATGGATTCATGGGTGTCTCAGCTTCAGACAGCTCATTCTTCTTACTCCTTAGAGCTGATTTTTGCCAGGCATTGTTGCACTACTGTATTTTTTATTTAACTATGTTCCTGTTGTTTTTTTCTCAGTACAAGTCTCTTTCCAGCTCCTATCAAATCAAATTCTTCATTTTTACTTTAGAACACCAGTTAAAATTTGCTTAAACTTTTATCAATATGATTTTTTGCATTATGAGCTTTTTATTTTTATTTTTTTTCCCCAACACTGATATGTGATCTTAGGAGATCTGGTGGTGTAGTGGTTAAAACATTTTGCTGCTAACCAAAAGGTCAGTGGCTCAAACCCACCAACTGCTCCGTGGGAGAAAGGTGAGGCAGTCTGTTTCCGTAAAAGAAGATTTACAGCCCTGCAAACCCTATGGAACAGTTCTATTTTATCCTAAAGGGTTACTGTGAATCAGAATTGATTTGATGGTAGTGGGTTTGGTTTTTTGTTTTGATATCTGGTCCTTATTTTAATAATAGTTCATGCTTTATATTATATAATATATGTCTGTTTCATGTATAACATATAACTAACATAATTAATGAAACTTTCTGCCAGTCTTCTGAAACTAATACTTTTAAAAAATTCTTTATATAATGTTTTATCTTCTCACCATTTTTAATTAGTTTAATTTTTCTAGTTTTTCATGAAGAATATTGTCAAACAGAAAAAATTGTTAGCCTAGTACAATGAACACCGTTGTAGCTTATATATGTTGTTGTTGTTGTTATGTGCCGTCGAGTCGGCCCTGACTCATAGCGACCCCTCCTTGGGTTTCTGAGGCAGTATCACTACGGAAGTAGGATTGCCCAACCTTCCTTCCGAGGAGTGGCTGGTGGGTTTGAACCGCCAGCCTTCTGGTTAGCAGTCAAGTGCTTTAGCCACTATGCTACCAGAGCTCCTAGCTTATATATAGATTCAGTAATTAACAGTTTTGCTATATTTGCTTTATCTATAGTGTGTATGTTTTTTGAACCATTTGAAAATAGGTTGTATATATCATGACACTTGAGCCCCTAATATTTTAGCATACAACTGCTAAGATGTGCAACCATGTGTAACCATGGTAGTGCTATACTTAAAAAAATTAACTATAATTTTATAGTATTCCAGAACAGGAACCCCGGTATCTGTTTTGGTATGTTAAACATCACCTAGTAGTGTTGAGCATTCAGTATACACTTCAAAATATTTGAATCAATGGAGTTTTTTTCTATGATTACATTTAGGGTATTTCAGAGTTAGAAATGACCTGAAAGATTATCTAGTAATTCAGTGCTTTCAGATAAAGAAAACAAGATGCAGAATTGTTTTGTGTTTTATGTGCTAGGATTGGAATCCTGGCTCTAATTTGCATTTGTTCTTTACCGTTATCAAACTTATTACTCATAACTTATGCCTTGTTAAAGGTATATATTAAATCTTGAGGTTCATGAACTTATCAGTTACAAAAAGGAAGTATTCTTTTCTGAACATCTTTATTAGTAATTGGTGTGGACACATATATATTGTGTGTATGTGTTTTTAAAAATTATACTTAATAAATTATCTCCTGTTTATTTTTAGATTGCTATCTTTAACATTATGTACAGATTTGAAGTCCTTACTGAATTTTATTTATAAGTTTGGTAACTATTAGTCTTTATCAGTAATTATTTCGTGCATTTATAACTATATTTAATACTTGCTATATTACCTTTGTAGGAGCTCTGGTGGTGTAGTGCCTAAGGCACTTGATTGCTAACCAGAAGGCTGTTGGTTCAAACCCACCAGCCACTCCTTGGAAGTTTGGGCAATCTACTTCCATAGTGATACTACCTCGGAAACCCAAGGGGAGGGGTGGCTATGAGTCGGGTCCGACTCGATGGCACATAAAAACAACATGTATTACCTTTGTAATTAAGAATAATTCTGTATATAATTTTTTCTTTTTATAATTGCAATTTTCATTGATACTTTTTGTTTTGATGTCTGCTGACTTGATTTTTGAAGACTTTTTTCTTTAAAATAGATTTTTCAAATATATGCTTTTTTAAAAAATTCATTTTTTTCCTAATGCTAATATATTTTCAGTATTTAGAAGGTCACTATTTTATGTGCTTGATATGTTCAAGGTTAAAAAGAAAGGGTTTGCTAAATGAACTAGTACTATAAAGATGATAGAGGATTGTTTAAACCATTTGAGAAATTAAAATTTTCAAGCTCTTTAAATTGTTTTAGGAAGTTTATACAGATAGCATCACTATGTTTGAATTTTTGTAACTCGTGTCTTTTCCCCAGTTAATACTACTAAATACTATTTTATATGCCTTTTGTCACATTTTATATATTTTTGTATTCACAGACGTATGTGTAATAAACATGTTTACTTTCCTAGCAAAGAAGTAAAAGCAAAAAGCCATGCCTTGATTTATTAAGAATTCTGAATAATATAAAATTAAAAAAATACTTAGTGCAATATGGTAGTAATATTCTCTTAACAAGTAATATTTGTATATCTGACTGTTACATTTTTTTTCTTACAGTAAATCAAGAGGAGTTTATTGCTATTATGACCGGTGACATTTAAAGAATTATAAGAATAATCACTGAGAATGTTGCAGTTATCATCTTATAATCTATTTTTATGCCTGGAGCCACGTAAAAAAAGAAATCACCTTAGTTTTTTTTTCCCCAGGGGGACCAAAATAAGCGTCTTAAGTATTTGTATTTTACTACTGTTAGGTTTCTTGGTATAAACTGTGTTTTTAGTACTTAAATAGTTCAGTTTTGTATTATAATGTAGCTTTTATATAAAGTTTAATCAATTAAATCATGTGATACTGATTCTTCTTTGAAGGTTTTTAACTTAACATTAGTAGTCACTTCTGGTGTATGAGTTTTTCACACTTTCATTAATTAAAATGTTTATTAGTATTTTAAAATTTTTAGTAAATATGTTTTATTTTGATTTCTATTACCTGTCAACCCTCAAGGGTATCTTAAATCTTTTCTCTCTACACTATTACTTGTTTCTGAAATAAAAATAGAAATACAGGTAGCAATAGGAGAGCACTTTTTTTTTAGGATAGCATATTTTGTTACTGCCTAAGATTTTATGAATTTTTACAATCTCTTTCAATATAAGGGGACTTTGTATGGACATAAGTCTTTTTTATTTTTTTCTTTCTTTTTTTTTTTTTTTTAAAGCCATGTCTTTCAGTTTGAAGGGGAAAAGTAAAACAGTATTGTGCACATAGATCATTTACCCTCAAGTATTACATTCTGTATCTCATTTGGTATCTTAACGTCAGTTACGACAGTCAAATTTGGATATGCCCTTCTTAAGCTAATTGAATGAATACAGTTTGAATCACCTAACTCATTGATAGTGAAAGATTTAAATTTTGGAATTTTGATCTGCTAAGATAATTATCACTCAATTAAATGTCACAGTGATGAAAATAGAAAATTGTAAGGTACAGAAACAATTAAAGGTTCTGTTCTACATATATAGAGGAACAGAACACTCTGTGATTCACTAGGAAATAGACAGACTTTCCAGAAAATGTCTGTTACCTGCTACACTTGACTGGTTACATTGCTGCTCTGATGTCCTGGTGAACTTACATAGCATGAGATTTGTCAGCTAAGATATTTGCCTTCCACATTTTTACCAGCCAGCAGAGCCTCCTTTTTAAAGATCCTGGTGCATACACAGTGGAATACTAGGCAACATTAAAGAATAACAAAGAATCTATAAAAACACCTCATAACATGGATGAACCTGGAGAATATTATGCTGAGTGAAATTAGTCAGTCACGAAAGGACAAATACTATATGAGACCACTATTATCAAAAGTCAAGAAAAGGTTTCACAGAAAAAAACAAAACATTATTTGATAGTTAACAGTAATCTATGAGTAGATATATAGACATAAGTTGAATAGGTGTGGGAAGGTGAATGGGACTACATCCATGAATATATATAGATTTGACAGGATAGTTCCACATAGTATTTGCATATGTTGGCAGTAGATCTCTGAATATGATAGAGCACATGGAGCAAATTTATGAAAACTACTTAGCCTTAACAAAACACCTTGATGAAATGAATTGGGCCTGGGAGCTCAGGACCATAGTCTTGGGGGACATCCAGGTCAATTAGCACAACATAGTCCACAAAGAAAATATTCTGCATCTTTGGTGAGTAGTGACAGGAGCCTTAAAATCTTGTGAGTGGCTTTATATGGTGTAACTATTGGTCTTTCCCCATCTGGAGCAAAGATGAATGAAGAAAATCAAAGATACCTGAAAACATTCAGTCCAAAGGACTAATGGACCACGTGAACCTCAGCTTCCACAACCCAGAGACCAGCAGAACTAAATGGTGCCTGGCAACTACTCCTAACCACTCTGAAAGGAATCACATTAGATGGTCTTGAAAAGTGGGAGAAAAATGCAGAGCAAACTCAAAATAAAAATGACCAGGCTCACTAATCAGATAGAGACTGGTGGAACCCTCAAGACTGACTCTTAGGTACTTCAGACTTGGAACTGAACTCATCCCCATGGCTCAACTTTCAGTGAAACACTAGACACTAAGATGAGCAATAACACCAGGGAGATAAAGCACTTTCTGTCAGCCGTTTGACATCAAAAGGGCAGTATTTGCCCAAGGACAAAGTTTAGAAAACAGGAAGGGATAGGGCAGAAGGAGGAATGGAAAGGGAAACATTGGTATTGCAATCTGTGACATGAAACAAAATGTGTATGAATTATTGAAACAATTTGCTTTATAAACTTTACCCAAATTGCAAAAAAAAAAAAAAAAAATTAAGGCTAGTGGACAGGTAAGTATCCATCAGTGAATGATTAAACCCAATATAGTCCATCCACACAATGGAGTATTAGCCATAAAGAGAAATGAAGTTCTGATATATGCTACGACATGGATGAATGTTGCAAATATGCTTAGTAAAATAGACTAGACAGTAGAGCAAATCCTGTGTGCTCCCATTTATATGGAATATCTTGAATAGACAACTGTGTAGAGACCAGAATCCATTAGAAGGGCTGAGGAGAGAAGGCAGGATGAAAAGTTACTGCTTAAAGGGTACAGAGTTTCTATTTGGGGTGATGAAACAGTCTGGAAATGGTTAGTGATAATCGTATAACATTGTGGATAACATTAATGAAATTAATGCCACTAAATTTTACACTAAAAGTTATTTGCTTATAACCAGCTCTTAGTTTAGGGTCTGGTAGTAGATAGTTGATGTATGGAGAAACGTAAAATCACACTTGTTAGGTGCCGTTGAGTCATCTCCAACTAATAGTGACCTCATGTACAGCAGAACGAAACACTGTCCAGTCTTGGGCAACCTCATGATCTTTGCTATACCTGAGTCCATTCTTGCAGCCACTGTGTCAATCCATCTCATTGAGGGCCTTCCCCTTTTTCATTATCCTTCCACTTTGCCAAGCATGGTATCTTTCTCCAGGAACTGGTCCCATACAACATGACCAAAGTAGGTGAGATGAAGTTTGGCCATTCTCGCTTCCAAGAAGTATTCTGGCTGCACTTCTTCCAGGACAGATTTGTTAGTTCTTTTAGCAGTCCATGGTACTTTAAGCATTCTTTGGCGACACCACAACTCAAAAGCATCTACTCTTTGGCCTTCCTTTTTCATTGTCCAGCTCTCATATGTTTATGAAGCAATTGAAAATATTACGGCTTTTGTCAAGCCCACCTTAGTCTTCAAGAAAACATTTTTGGATTTCAGCACTTTAACGAGGTCCTTTGCAGCAGATTTGCCCAATGCCACCCCTTGGAAGGAAGGTTGGGTAATAAACTTCCATAGTGATACTGCCTCGGCAACCCAAGTAGGGGTTGCTATGAGTCGGGGCTGACTTGACAGCACATAACAACAACAATAACATATGACGTATGATATCTTGACTGCTGCTTCTGTTAGTGTTGATTGTAGAACCAAGTAATACGAAGTTTTTGACAACTTCAATCTTTTCTCCATTTATCATGATGCTGTTTATTGGTTCCGTTGTGAGGATTTTTGTTTTGTTTATATTGAGGTGTAATCCATACTGCAGACTACAGTCTTCAGTCTTCAGTAATTGCTTCAAGTCATCCTCACTTTCAGCAAGCAAAGTTTTGGCATCTGCATAATATAGGTTGTTAATGATCCTTCCTCCTATCCTGATGCCACGTTCTTTTCATATAGTCTAGCTTCTTGGATTGTTTATTCAGCATACAGATTGAATAAATATGGTAAAAGGATACAACCCTGACACTCCCGTCTTGATTTTAAACCATGCAGTGTCCCCTTGTTCTGTCTGAACAACAGTGCCTGGTACATAGGTACAAGTTCCTCATGAGCACAATTAAGTGTTCTGGAATTCTTATTCTCAGTGTTATCCATAATTTGTTATGATTCACATAATTGAATTCTTTTGCATAGTCAATAAAACACAAATAAACATCTTTGTGGTATTCTTTGCTTTGAGCCATGATCCATCTGATAGCAGCAATGATATCCCTCGTTCAACATCCTCTTCTGAATCCAGCTTGCATTTCTGGAAGTTCTCTGTCAATATACCGCTGTAACCATTTTTGAATTAAGTAAGATTTTACTTGCATGCGATTTTAATGATATTGTTCTATAATTTCCATAATCTGTGGGATCACCTTTCTTTGGAATGGGTACAAATATGGATCTCTTCCAGACAGTTGGCCAGGTAGCTCTTTCCAAATCTCTTGGCATAACCGAGTGAGTGCCTCCAGTGCGGCATCTGTTGAAATATCTCAGTGGGCATTCCGTCAATTCCTGGAGCCTTGTTCTTCGCCACTTCTCTGAGTACAGCTTCGACTTCTTCCTTGGTTCTTGATCATATGCCATCTCCGGAAGTGGATGAACATCAACCAATTCTTTTGGTACAGTGACTTTGTGTATTCCTTCCATCTTTTTTAGATGTTTCCTGCATCATTCAATATATTGCCCATAGCATCTTTCAATAGTGCAATTTGGGCTTTAAGTTTCCACTTCAGTTCTTTCAGCTTGAGAAATGTCAAGCATGTTCTTCTCTTTCGGTTTTCTAACTCCATGTCTTTGCACATTTCTTTATAATAATTGACTTTGTCTTCTCAAGCTGCTCTTTGAAATCTTCTGCTTAGCTCTTTGATCTTGTCATTTCTTCCATTGGCTTTACTCTCCATTCAAGGGTAAGTTTCAGAGTCTCTTCTGACATCCATTTTGGTCTTTTCTTCCTTTCCTCTCTTTTTAATGACCTCTTGCTTTCTTCATGGATGATGTTCTTGATGTCATCCCACAACTCTGGTTTTCAGTCATTGGTGTTCAATGCATACAATACATTCTTTAAATGGTCTTTAAATTCAGGAGGGATATAATCAAGGTCATATTTTGGCTCTTGTGGACTTCTTTTAATTGTCTTCAGCTTCAACTTGATCTTACAAATGAGTATTTGATGGTCTGTTGCACAATCAGCTCCTGACCTTGTTTTGCTGAAGATACTGAGCTTCTCCATCACCTCCTGCCACAGATGTAGTCAGTCGGATTCCTGTGTACTCCGTCTGGTGAAGTCCATGTGTATAGTTGCTGTTTGTGTTATTGAAAAAAGGTATTTGCAATGAATAAGTCGATCTTGCAAAATTCTGTCATGAGATCTCCAGCAGTATTCTATCTCCAAGGCCATATTTTCCAGCTACCAGTGATTATTCTTTGTTTCCAACTTTTGCATTCCACTCACCAGTGATAATCAGCACATCTTGATTGCATGTTTGGTGAATTTCAGACTGCAGAAGTTGGTGAAAATCTTCAATTTCCTCATCTTTGGCTTTGGTGGTTGGTACGTACATTTGAATAATAGTGGTATTAACTGGTTTTCCTTGTAAGCCTATCAATATTATTCT